AACATTGTTCAACTAAAAAAATCAAACCCACCAAAATAAATGAGCCGAACTACGAAGGCTTTTTATGGGGCCTAATCGAGCATATCTTTGTAAAAATATCTTTCTTTTTCCCACACTTACTTTTTTATATTCTTTTGCATGCATTCCCTATTACTTTTTACTTTAAACCTTAGACATAGACTTTGATCACATCCATTAGATTAGAATAACAAGAGTGGATATCATAGAATACTACGGGCGTGTGGGATGCTAATACCTTACCCTCGCGTAACAGACTCATTTACCCGTATATCTTGATCGATTGACCTTGACAAATCTTCTCAGGTTTGCTCGATGTTTACCTTTCCCTTCTTGTGGGATAAAAATGTTTGACGGCGACTTCATTAATTTTATCTCGATGATCAGGTCAGCCGGTTGTTTCACTAGGTTAGTGTCTCAAGGTTTAAAACAAATCCATTGTATTGACTTCTTTGACAATTTTTCCATGTTGCTAAGCTCAGAACTGTAAGATTACTCCTTGCTCTTTCTTCCTCTTGAAACTTAGATATTCTTAATATAGATTGTCATTTGGTCCGTAAGAAATTAAACCAACACATATTTCATCTCCTTCCAATCACTTCTTCCCAACAGCTTACAAATGTTTTCACCAAACCATTAGATGCCAAACCGTTTCTCTCGAATACTACTAAGCTTGGACTACACTCCATCTACGGCCCCCAAGCTTATAGGGGTATTATATGTATAAGGTTATTCTTTTATTGGGCTTTTGTATTAGTGTGTGTTTGGGGTTTTATTGTAACCATTCAAATCTAATAGGTTATATATATGTATCTCTCATTGTGTACACTTCTAACCTAATTTAATTTAATTTAATTTCAATTTTCTCCTTTCCCACCATGGCTATTCAAGCATTACATTCATCACATCCACTCATGTAATATAAATACTATTTTCTAAACTTCTTTTGCTAAATAATAAAAATATATTATTTTACGTCCACAACCCCATTAACAAATTTCATTTATTTTAAGATAAAAAACTAATTAGATGAGACGAGTTTATCCATAAAGAATAACAGGATTGCAGAAAAAAAGATTTCCACAAATTTATGCAAGGAGTTAATTAAAGAAATTTAATCAAAATCACTTAATCAGATATGGGAATTATTCTCTGATGTCAGAGATAGGAAGATCAAGAAAAAACTACATATAAGTGTTGCTTAATGATAAAAGGTATAAGAAAAGATTTAGTGCATGGAACCACAATTTTGGTAGTTTGGGCAAAAATTGGGTTCTCATCAACTAGGTCCTCAATTGTATCCTATCTTCTATCTATGTTTTCGTAAAAGATGTCGATTACGGTATAGAAGAGAATCCTTGTTCTTCAAAACATATTACTTTGAAGATGTGCTAAAAGGAGATCCAAAATTTATTGAATTAGTTGGTCGAATGTGTCTAAGCCTAAACTTAAGGATGATTTATTGGGTTGAATATGAGAGCATAATGGTTTAGAAGAGAGGATGGGGGTTGAATAGATTTTCCTCTAATAAAAAAATCTTTGAAAAGGTTTTCAAAATAAGAGTTGTAATAATGCTCGTGAGCATAAATTTTTATAAAATATATGTTATATATTGAGTTCACATGATCATAAAATGTAATGAAACACCAAAATGATGAAACTAATAACACACAATGTGCCAATTATTTGAATTTGATTCAAAACAAGATGTTTTGGATGAAATTTACTTAATCAAACGAGAATCTTATTTTGAAGGTATATACATATAAATATAGCAGAAAGAATGTTTAGCGGACTACATCTAAAACATACCTAATTGTAAACACTAAAACTCTATGAACAATAAATCTAATACAATACAATTATTACCGAGAATCATACACCGATATTAGATTTTACATTGGATAATCTCAAACCGACAAAGCTTTTGCATCAGGTTGAGCTCATGTATCCTTGTGGAGATTTTTATGGCTAATCATTACGAAGTAAAAGAGAATTTTTCTTCCGGGTGAAATTCATAAACCAAACATAGACTTTCTAAAATTATCCCATAAAACAAGCTAGAGCTTTTACTTGTTTAGCTCACAACCAAACAACATCTTATAGAAGAATATTTTACACGAGATAATATGCTCTTGATAAATTACAATTTAGCTCTCACCGAAAATCATGATAAATCCACGTATGTTGAAAAATGGTTCGATTGCGAGTGGTTTAGTAAAAATATCGGCAAGTTGATTTTTACTATCAACATGCTCGAACACAACATCATCGTTTTCAACATGATTGCAACGGAAGTGGTGACGTAACTCGATGTGTTTAGTGCAAGAATGTAGCACAAGATTCTTGGTTATATTAATGGCACTAGTGTTGTCACACATTATAGAAATATATGAAAGTTTAATATCTAAATCAAGTAATTGTTGTTTAAGCAACAAAATATGGGCACGACAACTACCAGCAGCCATGCATTTCGCTTGGTTGTTGACAAAGCAACAAAAACTTGTTTTTTGCTATGCCAACTAACCAAGAATTTTGAAACCATGTGACATGTTTTACTAGTACCCTTTCAAATCTCAATCTAATATTCTCGGCTACACAAGAACGTAATTGGATGTTATTGAACCTCATCTAGATGACACCCCAACAAAAGATTATTATGATGATTTGTTAGTGTGTATGCATAGGTTGGAGGTTAAAGGTGAAGAGCAGTTGTAGAAAATATTTATGGTATCATCAAGTTGGAGTGATGGATGAAAGATGTATTTGTAGTTATAGAACTTTTGTGGCACAAGAGGGCAATTTGGAATTAAAAGAAATTAGAAAATTTGACTCATGAACAATATGAGTTGGCCTGTAACTTGCACGAGCCGGCACATAGTTTTAATTTTAACAACATGTGCCGACCTGAAATTATTTATGAGACGACATGACCAATACAAAAGAAAAATGCTTATTTAGGGCAATACATGTGCTGATCTGAAAGGTTGTATGAGTCGGTCTGACCAACACAGAGAAAAACTGCTTATTTAGGACAGTATACGAGCCGACATGTGCAAGGAAGAAAATGATTTTTAATGATTATGAAAGTTTTGACTGTGTTTTAAATGATCCATAGGATCTCTAAATGCATAGGGTGCCACACAAACTCAGAGATATTGTCAAATATACATAAATGCTATATTCTTATAGTTTTAACATCTTACAAACGCATCTAGAGGCAAGTTACCCTCACAAACTCATATCATTGTGGAATTTTTTATGGCTAATCTTTTATGAAGCAAAATAGTGTTTTTCTTTTACGAGAAACTTACAAACCAAATGAAAACTTATTAAGAATATCCCATAAAACAAGCAAGAGTTTTTACTTATTTAACTCACAACCAAACAAATTCTTAATGAAAAATATTTTACTTAGGAGATAACACTCTTAGTAAATTATAGTTACTAAAATAATAGTTCCTACTTATACACAAGAACACTTTCTAAATACTAAGGCAGAACAACTATCAACAGTCACATATTTTGTCTCGGTCGTTGACAAAGCAACGAAAACTTGCTTTTTGCTATGCCAACTAACCAAGAATTTTGAAAACATGTGACATGTTTCACTAGTACCCCTGCAAATCTCAACTCAATATTCTCGGCTACACAAGAACCTAATTGGACGTTATTGAACATCGTCTAGATGACACCCCAACAAAAGATTATTACGATGATTTGTTAGTGTGTATGTATATGTTGGAGGTTGAAGATGAAGAGCAATTGTAGGAAATTTTTATGATATCATCAAGTTGGAATGATGCACGAAAGATGTATTTTTAGTTATGGAAGTTTTGTGGCACAAGAGGGCTATTCATAATTAAAAGAAATTAGAAATTTTGACCCATGAAACAATATGAGTCGGCCTGTAACTTGCACGAGCCGACACATAGTTTAATTTTAACAACATGTGACGACCTGAAATGATTTATGAGACGACCTGACCAAAACATAAGAGAACTGCTTATTTAGGACAATACATGTGCCGGTCTGAAAGGCTGTTTGAGTCTGTCTGTCCAACACAAAGAAAAACTGCTTATTTAGGACAGTATATGAGCCGACATGTGAGGCTGTAGGAGCCGACCTGTATAGATATGTGCAGTGCAGAAAATGATTTTTAATGATTGTTATAGTTTTGACTATGTTTCAAATGATTCATAGGACATCTAAATGCAAAGGGTGCCACACAAACTCAGAGATACTGCCAAATATACAGAATGCTATATTATTATAGTTTTGACATCATGCAAAACACATCTAGAGACAAGTTGCAATCACAAGCTCATGTATCGTTGGGAAAAATTTTATAGCTAATCTTTTACGAATCAAAAGAGTGTTTTTCTTCTAAGAGAAACTAACGAATCAAATGAAAACTTCTTAAAAATATCCCATAAAACAAACAAAAACTTTTACTTATTTAACTCACAATCAAACAAATTCTTATAAACAAATATTTTACTCGAAAGATAATACAATCTTAGTAAATTATAATTATTAAAAAAATGGTCTCTACTTATACACAAGAACACTTTCTAAATACTAAGGCAAAAATATATGTGAGACAAATGTGAGTTTCTTGGAAAATAATGAGAGAGTGGAAAAGAATGTTCAAATCTATTTTCTCAAAGATTTGAAACGATGGAAAAACTCAGGTCAAATTTAGAAACAAGTTTGAGCTAATAACAAAAACAAAATAAAATGGAGAAAGAGTTGCACACTGGTGTAAGAGAAGAAAGAAAAAGCACAATGAAATATCCATTTATTGAATTGCATCACATGATTTAAGTCAAACTTTTCAACCGATCACACGTAGAAACGGAAACAGAAGCCAATATGCATACACAACAACAATATAACACACATCACACTAATTAATTATAAATATGAACACTTAAGCCAACTTCATTCATTTATCCACTCCATCTTATTTGTTACTTTCTTTAATCTTTTCGAGCGGCTCTTGCTTTGGAAAGATGAGCATCAACATCTCTAGTGCATTGGTTAAGGTAGTCCATCCATCCATTTGGAGGGTCAATATCCTCGTTGATTTTCTCATATTCTATCGTCCATTTAGCAACAGCAGTGCCATCATCAGCTTTATCAGTTACTTGAAGGGTGAGCTTAAAGACCTTATAGTGTTTACCAATATCTCCACCAAATAACTTCCAACTGTTCTTTTTGTTCTCTTCATCAACTTCTTCAACACTATCGTAGCTTGTGTGTACCTCACCATCTGTTTTGATGTCAAGGGAAATTAAAAACAACAAACACAACAAAATTATACATACAATTATATAATTCGCGTAGCATGTTTGTTGACTTGGAAAAATATAATTACCTATGACATAAGTCCAGTGTTTAACAGTATCAGTGTGATGCCAGTCTTCACCTTCATGGAGTTTGGTATGATGAACTCTTTCACAATGGACTTGCACCTCGTGAAGTTCTTCCGCAAATAGTTTGTAAAACCTTTCAGCGGGTGTTTTGATACCAAGTTCAGTAATAAGCTTACCAGAGAGCACCATTTCTTGGGAAGAAAATCAAAGACAAAAGAGAGAAGAAAGAAAGTTTGATGTGAAAAAAAATGTATCCAACCCCATGCCTTAAATAGAATAAATTGAATTATTGATTAAACAACTAATTAAAAAATGATCTCCACGTTAGAGGCGTGTTATCTAATATAACCTCTCACATGATTAAAGAGAATTCATATGACAAAAACAAAAACTATAAATTTAAGTTTTAGGTTTTCTTGAGATGTCTTTTCATCACTTTGTTACATATAGTATAAGAGTATGTATAATGGTTTACATACATCCTTCTTTTTATTTTTTATATTCTATATTATTTTTTCTTCTTCTACCGAATAATTTATATCTATTTAATTTTTATTCACTATAATAATTTTGTTTAATAAAATTTGAAGAAACAAATCTTTATTTATAGATAAAAAAAATGAATTTTGGTGAATATAATAATAAATAAAAAATTGATTTATTATAAAATAATGTATTCCAAATAATTAAGTTGAATTAAAAATATAAACAATTACAACAACCAATAAGATTTTGCAAAGTATTATATGTGACTCAACTCCCTCCTCATTTAATATGTTTTAGTGTTTTAAACATCAATTAATCCACCTCACTTTCAACCTTTTATTCAACACCCCATTGCACCTTCTCAACTATTGAATAATTTTTTCAACACCCCCATTTTACATAGTCTAAGAGTGTTGTTATTTTATTTTGAAAATAGTTACAAATGAAGTTATTGGGATGAGTCGCGGAACGATTCGCCCTCTTTAAAATGTTTTGCAGCACTGGTTAAAATTATACAAAACAATCTAACTACCACAACACCTCTAGGATAAACATCCTTATTCAATTATACGATCACTACTTACACGGTATGTGATCGTTCTAGAAATACACTTTTTGATGGTGTTGAACCACTCGGTGATAATGTCAAAATCACTTGTAATTTGTAGATAAACCAGCTACAGATGGCACAAGCAAGCCACTTGAAAATAGAAAAAAGAAAATTTTAGTTGAAGTGAATATGGGAGAGAAGAGAGAGATTTCGGATTGTGAAATCTAGTGTGAGGAACAAGTGATGAAAGTGTCGCTATTTATAGCTAAGGATCTAGCTTGATTGAAGAGAAAATTGTGGTGGGAGTGGAGTGGAACCGGCCAATTACTAGTTGTTACAAGCTTGATCAGCAAGATAACCGCTCCGTTTGTTACTTGGTTAGCAAGTCACACAACGAAGTTTGGAAGACAAGACGATGTCTTGGTCAAATTTTAGAATTAGGTTAAGCAACGTCATTAATTAATAATTACTTATTAATTAACTACAACACACTAAAAATTAATTAATTTACATCACACACGATTATTAAATTTAATTAATATTAAAATTGAGTACCAAAAAAATATTGGATCAAAGTCCAAGTTCAAGTCTGAATCGAGACGGTCAGCTGGATGGCACACATGTACTATTTTTCATGATAATGTGTTTTCACAAATATGTGTTGTCATTCCTATCACTACAAAAATAATTAGTGACGTGGGAAAGTCATGAGGCAAGAGCACTTGTAGTAACTAGTTGCCACATGAAATTCACGTCACAAATTTGTGGATGATATTCATGACATAAAATATTTAATAGCTTGAAGGATGAGTCAGAAAGTTGCAGACTAATTGTCACATGAAATTCACGCCATAAATATTTATGTACCATTTTAAAAAAATACACACACAAATATGTGTGTGTGTGTGCGCGCGTGCGTGCGTGGGTGCGTGCGTGTGCGTGTGTGTGTGCGCGCGTGCGTGCGTGCGTGCGTGTGTGTGTGTGATACTATTTTTTTATAAAAAACTATTTTATAAAAAATAATTATGTATTCGGATTTTAAAAATAAAACAAAAATTATTAAACCTATTTTTATGTTTTATTTTTAGTATTTCCAAAATTAAAGGGTCCATAAATTAGTATTTTTGGGGAAAAATTAAACGTATTTTCAGTAAATAAATATATACATAATATATATAAAATTAATAAACACTCAACAACTCAATATAAATGCAATTTTAAAAATAAAAAATAAAACATATCTTAAACTGTCCACAAATTCTGAAAAAGCTTCTTAACCTTAATTTTGATCTATCTTTGTGCTTCCTGAATACTTATAAATAATAAATAAAAAAAGAGATAAAATAAAAATTTAAAAATTTAAATAAAATAAAATAAATATTTATATCGTTGTAGTTTTGAGGTTGGGAGTGTGGTATATATGGTTAGGGATAGTAAAAAAAATGAGAAGATAAGGCTTTAGAAGATAATTGGTGAAGGACAGGAGGAAATAAAAGAAGATGAAATAGATATGATCTTGTGTCGGAAAGACAAGATCATATCTACTTCATAATTCTTCATAATTTTTCATAATTTTTCATAATTTTTTTCATAATTTTCATAATTTTTTCATAATTTTACATTGCATGTGTCGATACATACGATTTTCAGGTCGACACATGCAACTCTGTTTTGAAACGTGTAGCATCTGAAAGGTTCAGGTCGACACGTGTATTTCATAGGTCGACACATATTGAAGCATTTATGAAATTGCATAAATTCTTATTTTATGTGTCGACACATACGAATTTCAGGTCGACTCATTTATTGTTGTTTTAAAGCTTATAACCTCTGACTTGCTTGGGTCGACACATGCCTTCTTTAAGGTCGACACATACAATTTAAACTTAACGTATGTGTCGACACATACTAATTTTTTTGGTCAATTTTTCAAATCATTTTAATTTTGAAAAAGTCCTTTTACCCCTAAATTTACAAAACTAAAATTACATCATTCATGCATCATTACAACTTCATGATACCATAAAATTAGCCTACATTTTCTCTTCATCTTCAACCTCCAATATATGCATACACACTAATAATCCATTGTAATGATCTTTTTTTGGGGTTCCATCTAGATGAGGTTTGATAACGGATGACTAGGTTTTTGTGTAGTCGAGAATATTGGATTGAGATTTATAGGGGGTCTTCATCCAGAAAAACCACGGGTTTATCCTCTAAGATCATTGGTTGATTTGAGAGTTTTTGTGCAAGATATTCAACAGAGGATTGCGACCAACTAAATCCCTTTGGAGATAAAGAAAACAAAGGATCCTTTGGAGATAAAGAACACAAAGGAAGTAGTGAGAGAACGGCATACAAATTGAATTATTATGTTGCAATAGGAGAAGTTGATGGTGCACAAAAGTTTTAGAGATAAAGTACGCAAAGGATTAGCAAGATCTAGATATTTAATTTTAAACTATTATGTTTTGGCCTTTCTCAATTTTAAACTTCTCTTCTATCAACTTTTTTCATAGTAAGAATTATCCTAATTCTAGCGGGGAACTACGAAGACAAATCCTTGTGTGTCTTTTTCATATTGTTTTACTTGCTTTATTTTCATAAACCAATTTGTCTAATAATATTGTGTTATCAATTGACTCATAAGAATTTTCTTGAACTATTTTTGTTTTGAGCTAAGTGTTGATATTGCTTTTAATAACTTTTGATTATAAGTGCTTTTTTGTATAAAAACAAATCAAAGGAAGATTCTTAAATATTAATTGCACACTAAGTGTTCGACAAATTGTTTTAGTTTGTTCTTTTGATAGTTGCATTGGAAATAGCCTTCCTAGTAAGTTGATCTAAACGATCCATAAAGCGTTACTTGATTAAACTCCAATTAATTTATATTATCATTTTCATTCCATTTGCAAGTTTATATATGCATATCCGAGTTCCAATAACTAGGGTTCGATAAACGACACATTCAGTGAATCATCCGCATGCACTCTTTCCAATTTAAATTTTTCAAAACAATTTGTTAAACTTAAATTTTGGCTTAATGATGTATTAACCCCCTCTAGAAAAGGAATTATTGTCTAACAAGTGACATCAAGATCTTGGTTCATTCCAGCTTCAAAACTTATTAGAATATGGCATCAAGAACCTAAAAGGGATTATAAAAGAGCCCCAATTTTCACGGGAGAAAATTATATTTATTGGAAAGCTTGTATGCAAATTCATATCAACTCATATGACAAAGGTGTATGGGAAGCCATTCGAAATGTTCCAACACTGGTGTCATATGTTGTTAAGGGTGCTACCGTACCAAAGTCGGAAAAATTATGGGATGGGAAAGATAATAAGAAGTGGTCACGCGACTGGAAATTGAAAAATATTATCATATCCGCTCTTGGTGTTGATGGGTTTTATCGTATTTCCCATTTCCAAACCGCTAAATCTATGTGGGATGCTCTACAATTTACCAATGAGGGAACTAATGAGGTCAAACAAGCTAGGATTAATACACTTAATCAAGAGTTTGAACTCTTTTACATAAAGAATGGTGAAACCATTGCTCAAATGCAAAAGCGGTTCTCGCATCTTATTATTCGTTTAAACTTACTAGATAATCCTATTTCCAATGTTATTGCTATTAACAAGGTTTTGAGACGTCTTACTAGGAATTGGAAACCAAAGGTCACCACGATCAAGGAATCCAACAATCTTGCAACACTTGATCTCACCATCTTATTTTGAAAGTTAGAGGAACACGAGCAAGAACTCAACTGCTTGGAAAACATGAAAAGAAGCTTGAGAAAAAAAAGAAAAAGGGTAAAGACACCAAGATAGAGGAAGTATTGCAGTCTAAAGCTATCAAGGCTTCAAGGTCAAAGTCGTCAAAGGAGAAGCACACTAATGATAGTGACTCTAGTGATGAAGAAAATTTAGATGGTGAACAAATGAGATTATTTGTGAGGAGATACAATTGAAAAATTTGAAAGAATGGTCTCAAACTCTCCGAGAATAATATTGTGAAGTTTAGAAGACAATCCACAACCTCAAAAGATGAAGACAGCAAAAAGGACAAGGGAAAAGGTATATGTTATTGTTGTACCCCAAAATTTGCCCTCCCATATTCTTCAAGAAATTGCCAAGTCAAGCT